TCATTATTTTTTTCTGCTTCAGGTTTGGGCTATGGCAGACTCAAACAGGCAGGGCTACCTTGGATTGAAAGAATTTATCACGGCAATGCAGGTAAATTATCTCAAGAATTCTCTATGGACCTTCTAGATTTTGTGTGAGCTTTTAGATAATTTCCGTCGCACAATCTGGCGTGGAGCTCACTGGAGATGTTTTGAAAAGAACAGGTAAACAAGCTGCTTTCATGCAAATGTCTTACGACTCTTTTGCAGACTGGGAAAACATTGGCATGCCAAGCATGGAGCTTGTGGAAGATCATATAAGAGTACGTTTGCCAGTGGCTCAGAATTCACAAGATCAACTATGTGCTCTGCGTTCTCTTTTTCAGGAAGGACGAAAGTTAACTCCCGAAGTTGAGGTTCAAGGTAAATTGTTGAGAACTTGGTCCTCTATTTTTTTTTTTTTTCTCATATTTTTGTCTTTCCAGAAGTTGAACCAAAGCCTTCATTTACAAACTGGCTCTTTCAGAAAACCCCGCAGAAGGTTAAACATTGTTCTCTATACACCGGGCTCAGATTTTTAGTTTTGCAGGTCTCGCAAGATACAGCGACGTCGATAATCGATGGACTGAAAAAGCTGTACTTCGAAAAACTGAAGCCTCTCGAAATGGCATATCAATTCAATGACTTCGTTCTCCCTGCACTGGTAAGTTGTTTGCCGGTGGCACTGCATGGCTGATGCTGTTATTTATGCAGACCGAGAGCGACTTTGATGCGAAGCCTATGGTGATGCTCTTGGGCCAGTACTCCACGGGAAAGACCACGTTCTTAAAGCATCTTCTAAAAGTCGATTATCCAGGTTTGCTGATGCGCAGTTTGTAAAGCTCGACTGACATTTTTCCAGGCTGCCACGTTGGTCCGGAGCCAACAACTGATCGTTTCATCGTGGTCATGGTAAATAGCTCAGCTCCTCTATTTATAAGTGTTATGTTTATGGACATGGCTCGCAGGGAGGGCCCGACGAGCGAACCATTCCTGGAAATACTGCTGTTGTCCAGTCAGAAATGCCATTTACTGGACTTTCGAAGTTTGGAGCTGCGTTTCTGACGAAGTTTGAATGCTCTCTGTTGTCGCACCCGGTAAGTAAATTTTGATTTACGAGTCTGTGTCTTTACTGATATAAGCTCATTGTATAGCTCCTGGAACACATCACATTTGTAGACACTCCTGGTGTCTTGTCTGGAGAGAAGCAGAGGACTCAGCGGAGCTATGACTTCACCGGTGTAACCGAATGGTTCGCTGCGAAGTGTGATCTCATACTCCTCTTGTTTGATCCCCATAAGCTCGACATAAGTGACGAATTCAAGCGTGTTATTGGTTCGCTTCACGGCCATGACGATAAGATAAAAGTGGTCCTTAACAAAGCTGATCAGGTCGACACGCAGCAGGTAACTCGAAGGTTCTGTGTTGTTTTATCGTCTCACTAACTTTTTGACAGCTTATGAGAGTGTATGGCGCGCTCATGTGGTCTCTGGGAAAGGTCCTGAACACACCAGAAGTAATGCGCGTCTACATTGGGTATGCAACTGTTTATAATCTCAATGACAGTCATGGTGTTTTTGCATTTTGCAGTTCATTCAACGATAAGCCTCTGAATGAGAAGCTTGGTCCGATTGGGAAGGAGCTGTTCGAGAAGGAACAGAGTGACATTCTGATCGATCTGATGGACATTCCTCGCAAGGCCTGCGATCGGAAGGTGACATGTCTGTTTGCCGGTTTGAGGCAGTACTCACTAGCCGGGAATGTTTTCTTTCAGGTGAACGAGTTTGTAAAGCGAGCTCGCGCTGCTAAGATCCATGCACACATCATTGCTCATTTGAAGAAGGAAATGCCAGCAATGGTGGGAAAGAACAAAGCTCAGCAACGTCTAATGGTTAACCTTGAAGACGAGTTTGCGAAGGTAAGCGTCGTTTTCTTTTCTACCTAGCTCTAAGAGTCGAGTTTGCTCGCGCAGGTTCAACGTGAGCTGCACTTGCCAGCCGGGGACATGCCAAATCCTGACAAGTTCCGAGAGATACTTGCCCGCTACAACATCGACAAGTTCGAAAAGTACAAGCCCAAGCTCATACAAGCGGTGGAGACAATGCTGGCTCAAGACATACCAGACCTCCTCAACAAGTTCCACAACCCATACGATTTCTCCAGGTGAACGATGAGTCGTTTTCTTTCACTCCTCTCTCGAGTCAACTTGTTTGTTGGCTGCATGTACTTTACCGAGGCGTAATAAAGAACTTTAAGTTCCTTTCTCCACTGTGCCGGCGTCCATGTCAGCAATGGGACACGACGTTTCAATGCTGGATTTTGGATTGTCGTGATCCAAAAGTTTAGGGCTCGTGGCGGGAGCGGGGCTGTAATCGACGGAGTCGTCGTCTCCATCCCGCGCTGGTCAGTAGAGTTCGCAACGTTTTTTTCTTCGAAGCTGATGATAATGCCAACGGCTTTTGGGTCATGGAGTTCCGATTACAGGGAAGTTCGTCTGGCCAGCTAGAAACAAGGTTTTGGGGGACGCCAGGACAGGATTTAGTAGCTCAGGGTCAGCTCGGAAATGTGGAGGCTAGCAGTGTGGACAGTGTTTTTGGTGGGCTTAGCGGCGGTCTATTACACAGGTGCTGCTCCAGATGCTTTGAGTCTCAACGATGCGTATTCGCTCATGGGGTTCAAGTCACAGATATGGAACGATCCATACGCTTCGCTGAGCAACTGGAAAGTGGATCCGGCCGTGGGACACGCATGCTTTTGGAACGGGATCAAGTGCGCAGACTTGACGGCTTATAGAGTTAGCTCGATACAGCTGACGGGGTTGAGCTTAGTCGGGCCGGTTGCTTCGAACATAGGGGCGCTTTCGGAGCTCAGGGAATTGAATCTGTCCAACAACGGGTTCACGGGGGCCATTCCTGCTGCTATCGGACAGTGCACGAAGTTGACGGTGCTGGACTTGAGCCACAACGCTATGAGTGCGGTCATTCCCAACGAGCTTGGATCGGTTGTCTCGCTGCAGAAGATTTACCTGGGATACAATCAGTTCGTGGGAACTCTCATGTTTCCGTCCTCTCTGACCGCCATGACGGACCTGTCCGTGGAGCACAACAACTTCAACGGCTACCCGCTCGACATACTCGTCAACTTGAAGAACATCGTGTCCCTCAACTTGGGATCCAACACCTTCTCGGGTGTCATCGACAGCAAAGATCTCACTCACTTCAATTCGACTCTGAAGGAGCTTTTGCTGGGGTCCAATCTCTTCCAGGGGCCGGTTCCTTCGACTCTTTCCTATCTCGTTGGGCTCGAGAAGCTGGATCTCGGGGGAAACAACTTGACAGGGGATGTTCCAGTAGAGATTCAATTCTGTCCAAACCTGTACTACGTGAACATGAGCTACAATCAGCTGACAGGCGTCATCCCGACGGTCTATAACAAGCTACAGTCATTGTCGGTTTTGGACTTGCGAGGGAATGCGATCACTGGGACTATCAACATGGGAATTATGGGATGCACAAACTTGACAGACTTACGCCTTGGTGAGAACCAGCTGAACGGGACTATTCCAGGGGGATTTGGAAATCTGGCCTACCTTAGCTACCTGGATTTATCTGGCAACCGTTTGACAGGAAAGATACCCGCGGAGATCGCCTCGCTGTCGCTGAAGACCTTGAATCTGTCGTCAAATCTCCTAAGAGGCGCTCTTCTCGAATTTAGCAGTAGTCTTGTGGAGCTCGACCTGGCAGAGAACAATTTCGTAGGATCTATACCGCAGGTGTATGACAGCCTACCGAGCCTGGAGTTTCTATCGCTGGCATACAATAGTCTGACAGGTGAAATCCCGTCTCAACTGGGAAACTCTGCCAAGCTCAAGACCGTCAACCTCACCGGAAATTCCCTCACGAACAAGATTCCTTGGGCTCTTGCTTCTGCAAATATGGCACTTTTCTCCGTCGCAAGCAACGCACTCAGCGGTGAGATCCCGGACACTTCTGCAATGAGACGGTTCTCGCCAGATGGCTTTCTTCCTGGCAACATTTTGCTGTGTGGAGCTGTTATCCAGAGAAGCTGTCCGAAGAAAGGCTTCCCAACGTGGGCCAAGGCTGTGCTAGGAACGTTCGTTCCGATCGTCACAGCTCTCCTCGGGGCGTTACTCTTCATGTGGTTGTTTCCGCACGGCGAGTACTCTGCCAAAACGGTCCGGATGATCACCGACGACTTCAACAACACTAATCTCATAGGTGTAGGAGGCATGTCTACCGTCTACAAAGGTGTGTTTCCGGATGGAAACCAGGTAGCTGTGAAGCGTCTCCGGCCAGAGTTTCACAACACAAAGACAAACTCGAACTTCAATCTGGAACGCAAGCTGCTACTCGACGTCAAGCATCCGAATATTGTCCAAGTTCTTGGCTCATGCAACAGCGGTAACCTCAAGGTTCTCATTCTCGAGAACATGCCGAATGGGAACCTGGACATGCATCCAAACCTGCCTTGGAGCCACAGAATGGATATAGCTGGAGGAGTAGCACAGGCTTTGGCATATCTTCATGGCGAGTGGCAAGGCGCTAACCCGATGCATTGCGATCTCAAGGCAAGCAGTGTCCTGCTGGACGAGAAGTTCAACGCACACATAACTGACGTCCGCTTAGCAAACCAGAGCAGTACTATTATCAGCGACGGTACCTTCAGCGGATCGATCGGTTACATGCCACCAGGTGAATTCCTTTTCTATTGTTGCTGTTTCTTAGTCCAGTTTCCTAACCAAAAGCTTTTCCTGTTTACAAGGATAAGCAGAGTATGCACTCTCGACCGTTCCAACAAAAGCTGGTGACGTCTACAGCTTTGGGACTCTGATGATGGAGCTTCTGACTGGCGTTAAGCCAGACGCGTCCATGCCAATGGACTCTAATCTCCAGGCGATGGTCAGGCAAGCATTTCCTGATAAGCTCCACTCTGTGCTGGACCCACAGATACTCGACTACAACTTTCGTGATCAAATCACGATGTGCACAAAGATTGCCTTGCACTGCACAAACGATCTGCCTATCGACCGTCCAAGTATGCGGGATGTCCTCGACATGTTCAGTCGGGCTTATTCCATCGAGCCAGCGTAAGCAACTGTCTTGTGCTTTTCTTTGTTTTAACTTCACGTTTAACAGGAGATCCTTGAGATGAGTCACCACGAGCAAGCAACACCTGTATGCTCCCCATTCGCTACACGTGGGTGTTCTGGATGGCAAACACGTCGCGAGGTTGATGGTTTGCGTGTTGGTACCCTGTCGGCGGTTTACTTTCCAGGTCTTTGATCTTCCTCTCCCCCCTTTTTCTCTTTTTAGTGCGGCTGTCCGAAGCATAGCTCACATTGTCCTTTCAGCTTGTTGGGTCGCAGCGATGGAGGCGACACAGGACTTCACAGCTCGTAACGTTCTTCTCAGGCAGATGCTGTCAGCTGGGATAGCTGGGACTCTGGCGGACGGAATCACATATCCGATGATGACTGTGAAATCGCGCATGATGGTACTTGGGTCTCGCTTTTTGTTGCTTGGATCTTGCTAAAATGAGCGAATGCGCAGGTCCAAGGGTCCGCTGGCGCAGGAAACTCTGGTGCTGTGCTGTATATGTACAAAGGGCCAATGCATGCGATCCAGACCATCGCAAGCCAAGAGGGTTGGAGAACCTTGTACAAGGGATATGCGACGCTTACTCAGGTTGCCACTGCGCAAGCACTGTATATGGCGACTTATCAGACGACAAAGCGAATTGTTCCAGGTAAATTACTCGCTCAAAACCGAAACTCTCAACACAACTTCTGGTCCTAGGTGGGCAGGATAATCCCGTGGTTCAATTCGGCGGTGGATTAGCCGCGACACTTGTTCAATCGCTCATTAACGTACCTGTGGAGATCATTAGGCAGAGACAAATGGTTCAAAGAGCGGGAGAAGGCTCTTACAAGGTATGTTGCTGTTTTAGAGCTCATTTCATCTAGATCGTGACCAAAGTAAGTGGTGGCTACAGGGCTCGCTAGACACGGTGAAGATAGTATACAGGCAAGAAGGTTTCGCCGCTCTTTACAGGGGTTTTCTCCTGGCACAAATGGTTTGGGGACCTTACAATGCCATATACTTGCCATTGTGGGAGACGTGCAAACGTTTTGCTGCACGCTACTCGCAAGTAGACAGCGTAGAGAAGCTCGACATCGGATATGAGCTTGGGAGCTCCTTCTTCAGTGCCTCGGTCGCAGCAGCGATTACAAATCCCATGGTAAGCTGTCACTCTACTCTCCTTTCGCGTCACTAACTTTGGTTCGCGCAGGACGTGATCAAAACGAGATTGCAAGTCCAGGGAAAGAGCAACGTCTCAAACTCGACGAACTATAACGGGGCTGTGGACGCAGCCAAGGCAATCTGGAAACGCGAGGGATTCAAAGGCTTCACTTGCGGCATCACGTCCAGGATGTTCTGGGTGGCTCCGTCCAGCATGATCATGTTCACGACATACGACCAGATCTTCAAGCGCTTGAATCGATCATAGTGAAGGCTATCAGAAACAGTGTCAAGGTTCTTTGGTTCTTTTGAAACAAAACAATTCTTTTTTGTTCGAGATACTAGGGCTCTAGTAGTGTTGGTATGGCGCGAGTCGATGTGAAGCTCCACAGAGCTTCTCGGATCTATCGACCTTCGGTAAGAGTGAAAATGCGCTTTTGCTTTGCTCGGCTGATCGATCGTCTTTGCAGGAAGTCGTGGACGGGGTAGTGACGATCACAAGCCTCTCGGGCTTGAGCCATCAAGGGATTCGTCTCACCGCTCTTGGCTCCGTCATAATTCAGGCTAGTTTGAGGGACCATTTCTCTTCTTTTGTTTAGATGGTTGGATGGTTTCTTTCAGCCAAGCCCAAAAGCAGTTGGTGTCATTGAATCTCTTTACAGCTCCGTGAAGCCTATGGTGATCCTGTACAAGTTTTTCTCTCGGTTGTTTCCGTCCAGAGTTTCTCAAGAGCTTTGTCCAGGAAAAAAGCGATGGACTTGAGCGGAGCAGGAAAACTTGGCATTGGAAAATCTGAGGTTTGCGTCTTCTTTTCTCTCTCTCTCTCGTCTAACGTGTCCTAAATCCACAGCTTGCTTTCGATTTTCCTTTGGACGTGTCGCAAAGCTCCCAGGGAGACGGTGTTGTGGGTGTGTTATACGAGACATATCACGGTGCATACATCAATATCCAGGTACTCTTATTTCCCTTTCGCGTGACTTTTGCTCAACTCTTCCCCTGGCAGTATCAAGTGATTGTAGAGGTGGTCCGAGGCTATCTACAAAAGCCTTACACCGCAAACTTTGAGTTCTTTGTTGAAGGACACCGAGGTAGGGACTACAAAACTTTCTCTTAATCTACTTTTCTTCCGACGATCTTCTCTAACAGCGAGGCTTCTCTCAAGGCCGGAATCCGTCAGCTTCTACATCACTCACGACACTCAAAACCACTTTCTCTTGCCTGCGATTCGTTCAGGTAAGCTACTACATGCATACAGCTAAAAAAAACTCTTCTGTCGATGGTGAAGGTGGTTTCAAGGTCACTGGCAAGGTGGCGACTCAGTGCCTCGTTTCTGAACCTCTTACCGGAGAACTAACAGTCGAGTACTCGAACACTCCACTGCTGTCCATCGACGTTCTACTCTTTCGCGTCGAATCCATCCTCGTTTCGGACAGGAGCTCAACAGAGAGAACCGAAATCCAAACAACACAAGTAAGCGAAAACCAAAAAATCTAAACACTATCATCTAAGCATCGCATTTTCCACCAGATAGCCGATGGAGACGTATGCCGAGGCGTCGCAATACCCATCTACGTGATTCTTCCTCGCCTCTTGACATGCCCAACGCTCTCAGCCAAGTAAGCCAGCGAGCTTTTCCTTCTTTTCTTTCCCAGGCTTGCGTAATTCTCTCCTGTTTCGTCGGCGCAGCACTTTCTCCGTGAACTTCGAGCTTTGCATCAAGATCACATTCGACACGAGGCCGAGCGCGCAACTCGAGGCCGACTCAAAACAATTGGTAACATGATTGCGCCATAAATTCAGCTTTCAACCAGTTTGTCCGTGCAGGTGGCGTTTGAAACTCTTCCAGTGCGACTCCTACGATCGTGATGCGCTGATCTCCCAGGAGCCGTTGGATAGGCAGGATCCAACGGTTCATACGTCATAGTGTATTCGATTTATCATTGGATCAAACGACAATCCTGTTTTTTTTTCATGAAAATCAAGGAAAAAGAAAGACGTTTTTCCCGTACAAAAAGCGTCCGACCAAACGACAAAGTTTATAGACGGTCTCGTCCAGGCCTGCAAAATCCCCTCATGGATATAACAAGAGAAAATCCACAAAAATTATTCCTGCTCGGAGAGAGATTCGTTCGAATAGAGGAGAGAATGTCTAGAAGATGGATGATGAGAGGAATCCTCGCGGACCTTATTTGTGGAGCACCATCGCCAGAGCAGCCGCCACAACTGGTCCCAAAAGGAAGCCTCGCAGTGTACGTTGGACGAGATCGCAAGCGCTTCGTGATCCCAGTCATCTACCTAAACGATCAACGCTTCCAGGATTTGCTGGCCATGGAGGAGAGCGCCTCCTCCTCCCATTTCAGCTACCACGGTGGCCTCTTCTTTCCCTGTGATCCAGCTTCCTTCGAGCACGCTATGGCGTCCGCCGGCTACAAGCTCCAAAGCCCGCAGATAAGATCGAGATTCATTCCCTCCCTTCCTTCTCTTAAGCTCCTTGGCTCGATTTGTCTCAGCTTCTTTGTCAGCAGATCATCCCCTTCATCCGGACTGATTCCACCACCTCGCATCGCATCGACTTGCACATCTTCTCCAGATTCGTGACTTTGGTTTGCATGGCTCGCAGCCCCCATCGCAGCTCCTCGTTTTGCATCAGAGCCCTGCGGTACACACTCGGGTCGATCGGCCCAGCTTGCTGCTGTTGCTCTGCGTCAAGAAGCCTGCTCGCCTCTTCTTCTTCTCCTCCTCGTTCTTGGTGGTGGTCGATCTTCTGTGGACTCTTGCCTGGACTTTTGCCTGGACTCTTTCCCGGATCTATGTTCTTGGCCTGGCTGGGACTGTTGTTCACGGGGCTCGAGACTGTTTGCTTGCGAAGTTCCTTCTGTGCCAACAGCGTACGCACGGCCACGGGAGCAGGAAACCGCGGGTTCTGTGCTATGTGAGCGCACGCCTTGGGGGAGAGTTTCTGGTAATTCACCGCGTTGCACAGGCTCAGCGCTTCCGCGTTTCTGATAAACGGATGAGCCTACAAAACAAACCAAGAGCATTGAATCAGCGTTCGGTCATTTCTTTTTCACTTACTTCCAGGTAGATGTCCACCGCTCTGTAGAGTCTGTCGTCGGTTACCCTTGACCAAGGCGGTAGCACTTTCGCGAGGCGGAGGAGCTTCTGCGGGTGCAAATGCGGGTCTGGCGCCACTTCCGACAGGTACATATCCACCAGCGTTCCCAGCTTGATCAGCGCTTCCTCCCCAATGGAGCACGAATTCTCGGAAACGTAGCTCTTGAGGAAGTACCAGAGCAACCGCAGCACAGGATCAGCATCGTAGACCGGGCCTCCGGACCTCGGGGAAGTCGATGACGGTAGCAAAAGGTTGTCGAGGGTGGCGTTGTGTAGCTGCAAACCAATCATCCTCTCGATTTGTGACCGGCACAGCTTGCTCGATTCTATCCCCACGGCCATCCTATAGATCACGAACAGCGATCGGCACGTCGTCGATCCTGGTTCTAGATGACCCAGCAAGCTCACAATTGTTTCCATCACTTCGCACTGGAGTTGCTGACCATCTTCCCGGCTGCCACCATCTTTACCTTCACTCTCACCCGTAGCACTACTAGCACTGTGCCTGGACGAAACCCAGCTATACCCAAGCGAAGCCAAGCTCGTTTTCAAGTAGTAGAGCAAGAACCTGGAGATATAGCGATGCTCCACGTTGACTGTGAAGAGCGCTCGCACGACCCTTTCCATGAGATACATGGACAGCCCGCAAACGTCCGTGAACCACCAAGTTCTTGGAGACAGGCTCGTGGACGCTCGGAGCTCTTGATCCGGTGACATGGGCGATTCCCCAGCGGTGTGAAGAAGCTCGATGCTGGACGAGATTTTCCCTGCTGTGGCAAATGCTAGCCGTTGGACGATCCGGTGATTCTCGGCTATATGGAGGACGCTGTCACACCCCTTGAGCGCCGCTACCAAATCCTGCCACTGCCAGGAATCGACGCCGCCGAGCGCCTCCTCGGTCCTGGACACGAGATTTCCAGCCGAAATATCCTCGGTCATCACCAATTCATCCGCGGCAGCCCTGAGCACGGCGACATTGGATGGGGCGATCTCGAGCTGGCCACCGGAGTAGCAAAAAGATGCCGCCATTTCGAATGCCGGGGCTCCGCCAGGAAAATCGCGAAGAACAAGCCGCTGCCGCTTGGATTTCCGGCTGCCGGCTGCGCCAGTGCTGCTCGTCGCGATGAGATGCCTCGCCCGCCCGGAATACTTCGCCATTTGCCTCTGTCGGATCGATCGGAAGGGAAAATTTCAAGAAACGCTGCGAGATCGAGAGCGATTACCTTGCTGAGGACGAAAATGTGCTCCTCGTCGATCTCCACCTCCAGATCATTGTCAAGAACGCGCGATCTAGCTGCCGGAAGCCGCTGCCTCGCCATGGATTGAGGAGACCTCGTCGGTATGGCGCCGATCGTCCTCTGCATCACGGGCTTGCCCGCGGCACACAAAAAGGCCTCTTCTTTTTAACCCTTTCCTGGGGTGGTGACGTGGCACTATCTAGTCGGTCCGTTAAAAGCACCGGCCAGGATTTCCGTTAAGCACGGCATATACAAGAATATTCTACGAATGTCTCTTGCGCGGGGCGATTTTTAAATTCAAACAATAGTTTCGCGCGGAGGAGAATGAATCCCGTGAACAATCAAACGCTCCACATCTCTTTTGATGTGAGGATTGGACCTAATACGACCAACACAAGCAATAAATCCTTCCTGTTTTCTTCAATATTTTCCAAACTTGGTGAGCTTGCAATTCAAAATTTCCAAATTCTCTTAAACCATGATGCACTTTTAGTTTTAATTTATGGAGGAAAGCAAAAGCTCCACAAACACAAAAAGATGCCAATTAAGGCATATCAATTTCAGGATTTCACTGCAAAAGCCGCTTTGAGCGTCTGGATGGTGTCTATGCCCACTTTGAAGGCCTTGCTTAGAACTTGATCGTCGATTCCAGACCCAAAGATGGTGGCGGGGATGGAAACAGTGCCGGCATTGGAGCTCCCGAAGGCTGAGATGGCCTTGGCTGCGTACTGTCCTTCGTTGAATTGGAAGTGGACGAGACCCTTCGGAAACACGAACGCATCGCCCGTCCCAAGCTTCTGGACGAATAGCTTGTTGGTGGTGTCCACCAGGCCAACGGCGAGGGAGCCCTCTAAAACGTAGAGGAGCTCCGAGGCCCGGGGATGGATGTGTGGGGGATTGACCGAGCTTGGCTGGAAGAAGAGCTGGGCCATGGAGACGCCCAGACCAGTAAGACCTGGGAATTCCACAAGCGATGCCTTCCTCACCATGAAAGTTCCTGGTGCAGCTGTGACATCGCCGTGAAAGGCAGTGAAAGTGAAGAAGCTCGCGTTGGTGGCGGTGGGATCAGCAGCATAATCCGAGACAAGCTCCGGGTCTGCGGCAAAAACTCCTACCGCGAGAAACAAAGAGCACACTAGCAAGTAGGCCATCGACATATTTCTTGATCCTTTGCGATCTAAAGAGCTTTGCTTAGAAGTGTCTATTGTTTTGGAAGGCAATTAGCTGAAGGGGAGGATGAATTCATGGGCAGAGCTGGAGGCTTTTATATTTGCAAATGCCATAGCAACACCAAAGTTCGTACAGATGCTGGGAAATGCGCGTGTGCGTCTGGCGGAATGAAGCAACTCAGCACACGAGACCTGGATGAAATTTGTCCTTGACTATTGTCCATCCAGGATACGATAGACAAATCTTGTCTTCCTTTCACTATTCCCAATCTTTCAAATGGTAAAGGGTTGAGGGAATTATGAAAAGGTGTGGATTCTGGACTATATGGTTATAGGAATAACGTTGTAAAGGTACAACCGTAGCTTTTAATTTGGAAATGTCAATGTCATTGTAGTATACTGGTGAGTATTTCTGCCTGCCACGCAGACGACCCGGGTTCTATTCCAGCAACGGCAGTCTCTTTTTCTTACAATTCGATCTCTGCTGAAAAGAAACAGTAGAGTTTCCTTGTTTTCCTTCTTGTTCCTAGACCAAAGAATCTACACACCAGCAATCGGGTATGTGATGCCATCCGCAAGCTTCAAGGCTATTTGGTATTGAATCGTCCTTTTTTATGTTCTTTCAATTTCTTTTTTCTTTCGGAGAATAATCCCGATCTTTGTTTTTTTAATTCTTCCAGGTTCAACGAGCTGGAACTGGAATTGCCGTCTTTCAACGCTCTTTACACTATAGCCAGGATGGATAGGCCACGATCACACAGATTTGCTTCTCACAGGCAATGTATACATATGGTCGTCTATCAATCCACCAAGAAAATCGTTCCAGGATTCTAGCTTGGATTTTTCTCTTTTTCGTCTGTATTTCCTTTGTTTTCTCATTTCGTAAAGATAATCCCGCAGTGCAATTTGGAGGTGGATTAGCTGCCACTCTTATACGGCAGAGTGGATGCTATACGGCAGAGACAAATGGTGCAACCTTAAGGCTGCTACAAGGTGCTCGTTTTTCTACGAACAAAAGATGGAATTTGATGATATTTTCTGATTTATTACAGGGATCTTTGGATGCCGGACTGAGCTCCCTTTACCGGGGGTTTGCGTTATTGTATGGGGACCATATAATGCAATCTATTTACCACCAAAGACGTTCAAAGAAGATCTATGCGCGGGGAAACCGTGGACAAGCTCGATGCTCGATGCTCGCAAGCTCGTTTTGTAGCGCTGCCATCGCTGCCACTGTGACAAATCCCATGCTACTTTTCAATGTTTTCTTATGGATTCTGGCGTGATCAAGATGAGGATACAAGTCCAAGGCAAGAGCAATATTTCGAGCTGCACGACTTACACTGGGCCTGCAGATGCCAGAGAAACGAGAAATGGGGAGGCTTTGCGAGTGGAATCACGTCGAGGATTTTCTGGGGTGCTCCCGGTGGTATGATAATGTTCATGTGATTAAATAATTGCTTTTAAAATACTGTAGGATACCAGCAGAAGAGAGCTCGATGAGATTTCTCTTTGACTATTCCCATCCTGGATAATAAGATAGATAAATCTTGTCTTTCTTTCACTATTCCCATCTATTTTCCTATTCCAAAGGTTGGAATTAAAAGGTGTGGACAGTGCCTGGCTATAAGGGATTTCATTGTTAAGAATGCCGTTATGCTTAAAGAACCGGTGCTGTCACGCTTTTCATTTGACTTGAACTTTTAGAAAATTGTCACATCACTGTCAATTCTTGACTAATAGTGAGTAACTTTTCTTTGATTCTTTGAAGAAAGAAAGGGGTAAATGAAGGAAAACTCGCTCTCTCTTTTTATGAACAAAGGTTGATTTCTTACAGGGATCTCTGGATGTCGCTAGAACTTTGGACAGGCACACCTCCCTTTATAGGGAATTTGAGATTGTATGGGGACCGTCTAATGCAATCTATCTACCACTGTGGGGAGCGTCAAAGAAGCTCTGTGTGCGGCACTCGCAAGCGGAAACTGTGGACAAGCTCGACGTGAGGTACGAGCTGGCGAGCTCGTTTTGTAGCGCTGCCATCGCTGCTGCCGTGACAAATCCCATGGTAATTTTCAATGTTTTCTTATAGTCCCTTTTCTTTTACGTTTCCAGGACGTGATCAGGACGAGGATCCAAGTCCAGTAACATTTCGAGCTGCACGACTTACGCTGGGCCTGCGGATGCCACGAAGAGGTTAGTGAATCATCGAGGATTTTCCTGGTGATAATAAGAGATTAAGCAAAAATTGGATTAACGTCAGTAAAAAGAAGAATTCCATTCACTCCCTGGGACAATCCTCGCCGTTGATTCAGACTTCAAAGTCGTGACACGAGTGCTGAAATTTTCCAAGGCAAGGACGGAGCTGTATTTTGCCACGTACCAAAGAAGACTGTAAGAGTGAAAATCAGTATGAGCATTATGCCAGAGGATGTTCTCATCAATGAACATGCATAATTCCGCTTCCTCTTGATCTAGCAAAGAGGTGACATCTTCTGGCACTCTAGCTGCTACCAATTCTTCAAAAACTTTGCTGCGCTTGCAACAACGCTTCTGTGCAAGGCACTCTCAAGTGAAAACCGTGGACAAGCTCGAGGTACGAGCTCACGAGCTTTGTAGCGCTGCCATCGCCATGGCACTTTCCTTCTTTGTTTCCAGAAGCTGATTAACGTCAGTTTAAACATTTAAATTTGCAATAAATTTACCGGCAGAAAAAGAGACGGCTTAGAGTTGTTATTCACAACGTGGCTGATTCAGACTTAAAGTCGTTCAAACCCGTGAGTGTTGAAAATCTTACCCGGTTTCTCAATATAAATATCCAGCCAAGAGCAAGAGCAAGATATAGTGTCTCGCAATGGCTCACTTTTGCAAGCTTCTCCTGCTACCATTGATTCTCCTTCCTCATATAACCCAGGCCATCACACAGCGTCCAGCCAACATAGTCATGGGAGGGGAGTGGTTGAATTCCATGCCTCAAGGTAATGAATTCAGGCCGGGAGTGTCGCAGCCTGTCAAGGAGGTCAACTTTAAGCGATGCAAGCCCAATGTGGATGTTGTTGAGTACCTCTATGCAGAAATTCGCAGGAGCGATCTGGGCAGAGGCACAAACACGAATCCGGCAATGCGAGACTGGGTAGCCGAAATTGGTATCAAGGCGGCCAATGGGACGAAGGGCGATCAAGCTGGTCACATTATCGGGAAGAACCAGGGAGGACTGGGAACTGTCAAGTGGAACATCTTCCCACAGAATGGCAACTTCAACATGGGGGCTTATGCACAGAATGTGGAGCGATTGGTGAGTGATGCCACCAAGACTAATGGTGTGGTAAAGATGTGGTTCCAGTTTGTGTATGGTGATCGGAACAACCCTTGCCGCCCCTCCAGCTTTAAGTACTATCTGGTTGCCAACGACGTTACAATCAATAACGCTTTGGCCAATCCAGTTCCTTGACTAGAGCGAAGATAATGCAGAGCTACTTCTCAAGAGTCGTAAATAAAACAGCTAGTCCTTGCTCTTAACTAGCTCAGTAAGTCAATACAAGCCACTTAATTAAAGTAGAACCAGACTCCTGTCTAGTTGTACAAATGCCCCCAGCTTGTGTGTCCTGACCAGCTCCTTGGAATCTTAAAAATAAAAACTTATTGCTGCATAACAGGACAACTGTTTGATATTAGATGGCAAGCCTTGACTTGGCCGATAACTTGTCACACCAGAAATTGCACTAAACAACACTTCAATGCATTATAAGTAAAATTGTTGGGCTATTAATACATTAATAACTTGATTAGGTGTTGAGCAATATCAGTAATATTACAAAGTAATTTTTATTCCTGGGTTATTAAGCTGATAGATGATTTATAGAGCAATACATTATTAACTTGATTAGGTTATTAGCTAAGATGATAAATATCATACTTCTTCAATTAAAAGAGTAAGGGAATCTAGTAGAGATGGTTTTAATGATCTTTAAAAACCCAACCTCCAAAATCTGCTGCTACAATGGAGAACAAATTGCTGAGATGAACATTTACAAGTACCTAGCCTATTCTCTCCATTGAAGATGCACATGGAAAGAGGGAGTGAAAGACTGTGTCAAGGTAGCACAATTTGCTTATTACAGTTTCCAAACTAACTGCCATGAAATTACAGGTCCAAAACTTTCACAATGCATATGGGATATGCTAGAGGACTTGTTCATATACAAAAGTCCATTCTTGTCTTGGAAAGTGGCCTTCTTCCAATGGAGATCCTTATGTGGATATAAATAGTTTTTTTTTTGTCAAAAGACACAAAGACAAATTGGCAGCTTAATATAGGAGATTCCATCAACCTAATGTATGAAAAAAGGCAAATGGTAGAGTACAATTGGACAATGTGGTTAAGCCTAGATTTGGATCTTGTTATACGGGAACCGGGTCACCACTGTTGCAGTGAATTTTAAATTCAAACAATAGTTTGGTGCGGAGAATGAATCCCGTGAACAATCAAACGCTCCACATCTCTTTGATGTAAGGATTTGACCTAATATGACCAACACAACTTCCCATTTTCTTCAATATTTTCCAAACTTGCAAACTTCTTGCAATTCAAAAATTCCAAATTCTCTTGAACCATGATGCACTTTTAATTTATGGAGGAAAGCAAAAGCTCCACAAATACAAAAGATGCCAATTAAGGCATATCAATTTCAGAATTTCAGGATAGCCGCTTTGAGCGTATGGATGGTGTCTATGCCCACTTTGAAGGCCTTGCTTAGAACTTGATCGTCGATTCCAGACCCAAAGATGGTGGCGGGGATGGAAACAGTGCCGGCATTGGAGCTCCCGAAGGCTGAGATGGCCTTGGCTGCGTACTGTCCTTCGTTGAATTGGAAGTGGACGAGACCCTTCGGAAACACGAACGCATCGCCCGTCCCAAGCTTCTGGACGAATAGCTTGTTGGTGGTGTCCACCAGGCCAACGGCGAGGGAGCCCTCTAAAACGTAGAGGAGCTCCGAGGCCCGGGGATGGATGTGGGGGGGATTGACCGAGCTTGGCTGGAAGAAGAGCTGGGCCATGGAGACGCCCTGACCAGCAAGACCTGGGAATTCCACAAGCGATGCCTTCCTCACCATGAAAGCTCCTGGCGCAGCCCTGACATGGCCGCGAAAGGCAGTGAAAGTGAAGAAGCTCGCATTGGTGGCGGTGGGTTCAGCAGCGTAATCTGAGACAAGTTCCGGGTCTGCGGCATAAACTCCTACTGCGAGAAACAAAGAGCACACTAGCAAGTAAGCCATCGACATATCTCTTGAACCTTTGTGATCTAAAGAGCTTTGCTTAGAAGTATCTATTGATTTGGAAGGCAACTAGAGGAGGATGAATTCATGGCCAGAGTTGGAGGCTTTTATATTTGCAAAAGCCATAGCAGCTCCAAAGTTTACACAGATGCTAACGAAAAGCGCGTGTTCATTTGGCAGAATGAAGCAACTCGGCACACAAAACCTAGATGAAATTTGTCTTTCACTATTCCCAATCGTAAAGCGTTAAAAAGTGGGAATAAGGTTGCTTAATACCTTTGACTGTTAAGACAGATAGCCAGCTTTGATAAATGTCAATGTCGTTGTAGTATAGTGGTGAGTATTTCCGCCTGTCACGCGGACGACCCGGGTTCGATCCCCGGCAACGGCGTTCTCTTTTCTTTTTGAAAATATTTAGGGCTAGTGAATCTATGCTCTCGGTCGATGGTGTGTAGATTCTTTTGCTTGGGAACAAGAAGGAAAACAAGGAAACTCTATTGTTTCTTTGCAGCAGAGATTGAATCGAATGCCTTATAGCTGCGAGCATATTTCGTTCTTTTTAAATAAAAAACGGAGAATAATGGCGATCTTTGTGTGTTTCTGCTTCCCAGGATCAACGAGGTGGAACTGGCAGTGCCGTCTTTCAATGCTCTTTACACTATTGTCAGGATGGAGAACTCTCTACAAAGGATAGGCCACGATCACACAGATTTGCTTCTCACAGGCAATGTATACATATGGTCGTCTATCAATCCGCCAAGAAAATCGTTCCAGAATTCTAGCTTGGATTTTTCTCCTTTTTCTCTGTATTTGTGGTGGAAGTGATTGGAGGATTCATGGCCAACAGCTTAGCGATTCTGGCCGACGCGATACACTTGCTCTCCTTGTTTTCTTCCATTTCGTTTCCGCAGTGCAATTTGGAGGTGGATTAGCTGCCACTCTTATACGGCAGAGACAAATGGTGCAAGCTTTCAAGGCTGCTACAAGTTACTCTTTTTTCTACAAACAAAAGATGGAATTTGATGACTTTTTGGATTCCTTACAGGGATCTTTGGATACCGGGCAAGAAGGAATGAGCTTCCTTTATCGGGGGTTTGCGTTATTGTATCATATAATACAATCTATTTACCACCAAAGAAGTTCATCATCTGCGTCGTGATCAAGACGAGGATCCAAGTCCAAGGCAAGAGCAATGTTTCGAGCTGTACGACTTACGCTGGGCCTGCACCGCAATCTAGAGAAACTAGGGATGGGGAGGTTTTGCGAGTGGAATCACGTCGAGGATTTTCTGGGTGGTATGATAATCCTAAGGAAAGAATATTCATGCATGCCACGTGGAATTCCCATATCCATCATCAACGGTGTTTCGCAATGGGTCACTTTTGCAAGCTTCTCCTGCTACGTTGATTCTCCTCCCTCATATCGCCCAAGCCAGTGCAGCCAACATAGTCATGGGAGACTTGAGTTCCATGCCACGAGGGAATGAATTCAAGCCGTAGCACAGCCTGTTAAGGAGGTCAACTTTAAGTGATGCAAGCCCAACGTGGATGTTGCTGAGTATCTCTATGCAGAAATTTGCACAAGCGATCTCATACCAATGCTTCAGAAAATAGAAGTTTACTGTGTATACTAGCGCATATAGATCCTTTTAAAATACTGTAGGGAGTGGCCCCAAAAACTTAAGACACACCCACTAAACTTTCATTTACAATTGCCAATGACTGGTGATGAATTTGTAATAGTAATACATTTATTTTATGATATGAAGGGATTAACAATATTAAAATCAAAATGCTCCATAAGTTATTTAATTTTAAAGAGGAATTCTTAAATGATTATTGTACTCTTTTTTGCAAAATCCTCAGCCTGAGCTGGAGGTTTTTATTTGCAGAAGCCATAGCAACTCCAAAGTGTGTACAAATGCTGGGAAAAATGAGTGTGTTCATGCAGAAGAGACCTGGATGAGATTTGTCCTTAACTATTCCCATCCTGGTAAGATAGATAAATTTTGTCTTTCTTCCATCTAGTTTCCTATTCCAAAGGTTGGAATTAAAAGGTGGATTCTAGAATATAAGGGCTTGAACTCTTAGAAAATTGGGTGCTTGAGATGTTCTAAGCTGGGACGCTAGTGGATGCTAGTGGATGGCATCATATCACTGTCAAATCTTGACTAATAGCTGCGCTTTAAGGCTATTTTGTATTGAATTCTTCTTTTCAATCTTTGGAATGTTCTTCCAATGTTTTTTTCTTCTTCTGGAGAATAATGGTGCTCTTTGTTCAAGGGGCTGTGGCAATGCATATACAAAGGGCCTTTTGATGCTCTTTACACTATTGCCTTGTGAGAAGGATGGAGAACTCTGTACAAAGGATATGCCACACTCACACAGATTTGCTTCTCACAGGCAATGTATATGGGCGAAATTCGTTCCAGCTTTCTAGCTTGGAATTCTCTTTTCTCTCTCTCTATCTCCTTTGTTTTTTTCTTTCTTCCATTTTGTTTCAAGGTGGTGAAGGTGCGAGTGAATCATCTAGGATTTGCTGGGTTGCTCCTGGTAGTATGATAATAAGAGATTAAGAAAAGAATCTCCATAGTCAGTTAAAAGACGAGACAGGGTTGCCACGTAGAATTCCATTCACTTCCTGGGACAATCCTGGCCGTTGATTCAGACTTAGAAGTCGTGACACGAGTGTTGAAATTTTCCACCCGGATCTTCAATACAAATACCCACCCAATATCAAGAGGCCATCATCAACGGTGTTTCGCAATGGCTCACTTGTGCAAGCTTCTTCTGCTACCGTTGATTCTCTTCCCTCATATCGCCCAGGCCATCACACAGCGTCCAGCCAGCGTAATCATGGGAGGGGAGTGGGTGAATTCCATGCCGCGAGGGAATGAATTCAGGCCGGGAGTAGTGCAGCCCGTCAAGGAGGTCAACTTTAAGCAATGCAAGCCGAACGTGGATGTTGTTGAGTATCTCTATGCAGAAATTCGCAGGAGCGATCTGGGCAGAGGTACAAATACGAATCCGGCAATGCGAGACTGGGTAGCCCAGATTGGTATCAAGGCGGCGAACGGGAAGAAGGGCGATCAAGCTGGTCACATTATCGGGAAGAACCAGGGAGGATTGGGAACTGTGAAGTGGAACATTTTCCCACAGAATGGCAACTTCAATATGGGGGCTTATGCACAGAGTGTGGAGCGATTGGTGAGTGACGCCACCAAAACAAATGGTTTGGTGAAGA